AGCGGGAGCTCTCTGCACTGGGTACGCAAGTCCAGAGATAAAAGGAAGTTAGTGCACGAAATGGAATTATCTCACCTTGAATCAATAGCATGCTGCAGTCCCCTAGATTAAGAGCACATGCAAGAAGGGCGCGAGCTTCTCTCACTTGTGCAGCAACTGCTCCTCGTATTGAATTGATTATGCCGTTGTAATCCAATCCAATCCCATTGAACTAACACAGAGAATAAGAACATGGTTGAGATGATGGCCCAAGAACATCAAGAACAGGGGAATAGAATTACAAGATAGTTCCAAGAACTAAATCCTTCACTGGCTAGATGTGAGCAGCAGGACCACAGGGCAGCGAGAGGCCTTGGCTGACAGTAACTTTTATATTGACGTGGTGAGAGTGCTAGCCATCTCAGCGCAGAGTCGCAGTGGTGGCGACGACGTTTGTATAACAATAGAGTCGTAGAGATGGGATCCGTAAAGGAAAAAGGAGGAAAAAAAGAAAAAGATACATTGTGCTCATTTTATCGAACACATTCACTGCAGCTTCATGGAGGCACTGAATTCTATGTCCGATGGCAACGTCGAGCACATGGGAGCAGGAGGCATGGAGGCTGTAGATGCCCCGCCTGAGCCGGGACTGTTTTCTTCCCCATCGCCGCAGCGGGATCCATGCGGACTGGTGCTGCGAGCGGCGAGCGCCGGGATGGAGATAGCACGGGTGCGGCGGCGACCGCAGGCGACCGCTTTCGACGTGGCGTCGCGTAGGCCTGCACGACGCCATGGTCGAGGTCGAGCCACGTCGCCTCCGCATTCACGCACCGCCGCAGGCCTTGCTGGGATCGCGCGCCGGGGTGCCGCGCTAGGTCCAGCACGCGAACCAGGGACGCCGGGCTTGCCCGCGCTGGGTCCGGCCGCACCGAGAACAGCACGCCCACCTATGCCACTTGGAATGCTGCTGGCGCTGCCGACAACGGGGACGCCCGTTCGCAGCTCGCCCACCAAGCTGCCGCCCGGCCATGGAAGGGCGAGGCGCCCGACGCCCCCGAGGTTGGCCTCTTCTCGGCCGGAGGGAGCCAGCGGGCTGGCCATGGGCACGCGCGACGCGGCCGCGCTGCTCGCAATGCGGCGCGCGGCGCTGAGTGAGCGAGTTGGGGCCAGGCCGGCGCTGAGGATAGTGAGCACCGCCGTGCGCGGAAGACCGAGGCCCGAGGCGCGGCGTAGCCACGAGCTCGGGGGAAAGCTCTGTTGAGGCTGGTTGCTGTGCCTGTTTCTGACCGTCGGATCAAAATCGGATGGACCAAAAGAAAAAGAGTGACGTGGCCCAATGACGTGCTCGAGCTTGCCTCAGGATTAGAATTAAAGAGATTAGTATAGCTCCAACCAATGATATATGGCTTGTATCAAAAGCAGCTTATGGCAACGACCAGCTAATAAGATGATCTGTTCTTCTCGAACAATAAATGTGACTTCAGTTTAATATATAAAGATACTCTCTACAACCAAAATCAATCAAAACCGGACAGCAGCAATCAAAACCTCCGCCCTATTTACCTGGCTTATAAGCCGTACTTTTTCAGTCAATGAACAGTATTTTACTCTCACACCAAATCAGTCCACAATACTTTCAACCATGACTTATCAGACAAGCGAAAAGGACGCTCGTTTCCATCCTTATTGACATTGGCCCAATCGCAAGGAGAGGCGCACGGCTTTCTAGTATACTGGAGCTCCTATGGTAGTTGCATCCACTCTGCCGCCCATATCAGATGTGGTGCTTAGTCATTAAACTTGCTCCTGCATTTAGAAGGGTCCTGGCAAACAAGATATCATCATTTACTGAGATTCAAAATAAAAATAACAAAAAAAAGTCTGCGTGGCAACATTTCTTACTATATAAGTTGCCTTAATTAACCGCTCATTGTAGTATTCTCCATCCAATGCTTTCTTTGCAGCTGCCGCATAACTTACATCTCTAAATAGCACGTAGACCAAACCAGCATAGCTGTAAAAGTTCAACCATTGTAAAAAGTACATCGTAATATTATTTAAAATCCATCGTCCATATTTATTAGTATTATATACATGCTAACTTACGGGTCAACACAAATATTCGTCACTGTACCACCTTTGGTGGCACACATCTCATGAGCATTAGCCTTGACATCCTTAAGTAGAACAGAGTCCATCTGCAAAACAGATACGTTTGTGTACGTGTTACACGTATGGTTTATGAGACATTGACTAAGTGTCCAGATGTACCCCAAAGGCCCCCAAAAACGTTGTTTGCATGCGCTCAAGCAAAGCCAAAGAATGAATGATTATTAAATATAAGCACAACAATAACCAACCTTCAGAGAATCATCGAATGGTTCAACCACACACTTGTCAAACAAGTTGTCCAACACTAAGCATAACTGTGGTTCCACACTCGGTTCCTGTGGAACTGAAAGCGGTGCCTCACTAATATCAAAATGAAACAAAGAATGAGCAGAGACGAAATAGGGGTACGGAAATATGTTAAAAGTATAATTCAGCAGCAGGTAAATGATAACCTATCAATAGCATCTTGATGATTCCTTTGAATAGCCCAAGTTCAAAAACACAAGCCCAAAGCACTCACTTTCGAAATAATTGAAGCAGATTGGTATTTCACCAACTCATTGTGCGCAAAGAGGATGCCTTATCTATGAATAATTCAGTTGCGAAGAAACAAAGGTGAACGCTGATCAACAGTTCTCGAAAACGGCACCTGACGTCCTGGCCGTGCTTTCCTCCATCGAGACCTCCTTCTACGTCTAAGCGACGTAGGTTCTTGTCACCCGGGCTTTCTTCACGGGGCTGTCATCGTGGCGACGGTGGCTGCTCCTGTCGTCGTGGCGACGCCGGGTGCTCCTGTCGTCGTGGCGACGGCTGCTCCTGTCACCGTAGTCGTCGTACTGATAGCTGTCGTCCTTGTATCGGTGGTGGTGGTGGCGGCGGCGGTGGCTCATGGCACCGTGGTCGCCGCACTCGCGGTGCATCTCCTCCTCCTGCCGGTAGTCGCGGATACGACGATCCGGGCTACTGGCATGCCGCGTCTGAACATTAGATCGCTTCGATCGACGTTGTGCTTCGTCGGGATCCTACTCTCCGCCACTGCTTCGGCAACGGCGAGATTCTCTGACCTTATGGTCCTTCTCGGGAGCCACCTTGGGTTCCATGGCGCCGTCAGCTGAGATCCGAAGCATAACAAATCAAAGCAACACCAAAACAACCAATTGAACGGGGTAGTAATAATGTAACAGATTTCTGGAGAAAGGTAGGAGGCACCGAGGGAAGAAGGATCCGTAGATCTACCGGTGGTGAGAGGAAAATAGACCTGCCGGCAATAACAACGAATGCCTGGCGAACCACCGCCCCGCGAAGCACCGGCGATTAGGAGTGGAGCCGGCGTGAGGGAGCAGGGAGTCTAGGAGTCGAGGCGGTGAGGGAAAGGTAAACCCGATCTGAGCAACTAGCAAGAGGATGCTCTGCATCTGGAACGCAGGCTCTCGAAATAAGCCCAAACTGGTACTCCCATGAGCCTGTCCATATTGGGGCGGGACAAATGTTGGCGGCCCGGTATTTCGCTTGACGTAAGGCTTATATCAAAAAAAAATGGTAAAAGTCTATATTATCTCCCTTAACTTTTGCGAAAGTCTGTTTTTTCCTTCTTAAACTTTAAAACCAGTTAACTCATCTCCCTCAACTTTTAAAACTGTTCGTTTTACCTTCCTGACTGATTATAAGCGGTTTTCAAAGTCGGTTTTGTCTTTTTCTTTTTTTATTTATTTTGGCTGAATCTTTGAAAAATAATAATAAATCACAGAAAAAATCATAAAATAGAAAATCTAATTTTATTGGACTCCACATGAGTAAATCTACACAGTGAATATATAATATGGTACGATTTAGTACAATTTTTTTGCTGTAACTTTAGATCTATGCTTTTTTATAATTAATTCATAGTTGCAGTTTCTATGGTCCAATTATGGCGAAATTTTTATAGAGTGATAATTGTTGTATGTTTAAACTGTAGTAAAAATTTTATACTCATTAGATCATGTATTACTTAGCTATAGGTTCATTGCAAAATAGAAAAGCGTAAGGCTGATTCCAGCCACACCTCTCTCTGTTGTGAGTATTCTCTCTTGTGTTCTCTTCTCCGAGATTTGATCCAACACATTCTTCTCTCTATTTTTTTTTAATATAGGATTATGCCTATGCGTTGCAACAGGAACATGACCGGCCACGTTAGTGCTAGTCGAGCGGCGAACAAAGTCAAATTCAACATACACACATGTCAATGGTTTTTCTATCGCGGTTCAGATTGCAATAAAATTTGAGTATTCATGTTTGAACAAAATAGCACTAACATTCTCATATAGCCTACCGGAAATCCAAATTTCTATATAACATGAAACCTGAGGCTCATATATAAGTGGAAAACTCTTTTCCCTTTTTTTATTATTTTTGGTTTTTTAAGCATCATCAGTATCTAATTTATAGAAAAAAAATATTCACAATACATATATTAAAAGGTCGAAAACCGATACATCGTTCTCCAGTGGTATGGAACTATGGATCCACACTGAGACTTTTCCTTCTTCATTGCTCTTGTTTCTTTCCTTCACATAAACACTAGGAACTGGGATTGAGAACAGTTGCAGAAGTGTTTTTTTTCCTCTTGATTTTTTCCAAAAACTCTGAATTGGGAGTATCTTTAACTCAGTGTGATTTATCCGGTTTTTATATGGTGTCAAATCAGCAAAATCACCATCCAAACTACCTAAGCTATATATAAAAAAACTCTTTTAAAAGTTGAGGGTAATAGAAAACTGATTTTGTAGAGAAGCAGAATTGATCGACCAACAGTTGGAGGAGGCAAATTGGATGTTTTTCCCAAACAAATGAACCCTAAGAGGCTAAGACCCCAGCCCCGGCCCACCCGAACCGGAGAGGAACCCAACCCGCAAGCAACACCGCTAGCCATGTGGCGCCGCGCCTCCCGCCTCCTCCTCCTCCGCACCACCGCCGCCATCCCCACCCGGCGCCTCCTGCCTCCACATCCGCCGCTACCCCTCGCCCCAAGGGTGGCCTCCGCATCCTCATCCTACGCCACAGCCGCCGCAGCCGCGGCCGTGGCGGCAGTGTCGGCGCCCGCGGCGAGGGCGCCGCGGACGGTGGGGACCCTGCTGCGGCTCAACGACCTGCGTGACAACCCGGGCGCGCGGAAGCAGAAGACGCGCAAGGGACGCGGGATCGGCTCCGGCAAGGGCAAGACGGCGGGCCGCGGCCACAAGGGGCAGAAAGCGCGTGGCACCGCTAGGTTCGGCTTCGAGGGTGGCCAGACGCCGCTCCGCCGCCGCCTGCCCCGCCGGGGATTCAAGAACCCCTTCTCACTCACATTTCAGGTCCGTCCCATTCCTGCAGCATCTCCTGCTTAATTACCCCCCTTTCATTTCCCCTCTCCTCGCATCAGGTGTTCGGCCCCGTCCTCATCTCTGGCTATTCTTGTCTTCTTGATGACATATGGGCATTTTCATTCCTTGTTTCCAATCAGTATATCGATGTGTTCTAGTTATTTCCTCAAATGGTGCTTGATTGAAAACGCTACTTACTTGTATGATACAAAATGCTACTGATTTCTTTGATAAAAAAAATGACGTTTTATTGAAAAATGCTGCATAGTAAGTTGGCTTGCACATGAGATGGTCAATCTGCGCCCTGGGTTGGCTTAGTTTCATTTCTCATCTTATATGCTCACCGAATGAAGGTTTTGTTATCTTCCTAGATGTTGCTATTTACAATTTACAATATATGTGAAAAAAATAGCAAAGCTTTTTAATCCCAAGCAATCTGGGGTAGGTTTTAGATATTGCTATTAGACGAAGAAAAATTTTGAATTTAGCCTATTATCGGCCAGTTTCCTGAACCCTTTTTATTTGACCTATTTGTGATTAAAGGTCTCAAAAGTAGCATTTATTGACTGTTTAATATGAACCATTGAAAAGGGGCTTTCTCAGTGCTGAAAGGTCCTATACAAGGAGGGTCTGGTCAAGGGATTTTAGGCTGCCTTAACCTTGCCTATTTTGCATGGAGACTATTTGAACCTAGGACCTCTAGCATAGAAAAGTGGCGAGACTTGACCACTGTGATAGGCCTGACCTTCGATGTGCACTGTGAAAAATGCTTAGAATTGTGGTTTGGTTTATGTTGGTTCATGTGGATGTCATTTTTACATCATTTGTTGGGATAGTGCTACCTCACCTGCCATGGGCCAATTTTGTTAAATGATTTTGGGATCTTTAGTAGAATTATTATTCCTAAAGAAAGCAGAATGAGCTTAAAAGAAGAAACATGGCAACAAAAGTTTGCAGTTTGATCTATCTAAAGATATGATTTGGTGTGGCCATGGCGCGGCCTCAGGGTGGCCACGTCGCCGGCTTTTCGCGGCCGTTCGATCGGCCGCGCGGACGGCCCAGATCGGGCGAGCCGCGGTCGTTTTACGAAAAACCCCTTTAAGTTTTCGGAAATCAACCCGCGCTCCAGACGTCCTCTCAGAATTTTTTACAAAAAACGCCTTGTATTATTTCCAAATCAACGCTCAGTCCAGACCGGATGGGCACTGGTTTGTTTGCAAAAAAGACCTCCACTTTATCGAAAATCAACTCGCGCTCCCCAGACACTCTCACCGTTTTTTGCGAAAACATCCTCAGATTTATCTCAAATCAAAATACAGCCCAACTTTGATTATATCTTTTTTTTCTCCAAAAAATACGTGTGGCCAGTGGACCGCGCGCATGGGCGCGCCCGAAAAACTAGTATGGTACAAACCCTGCTGCAATGTTGTTTCTGCAGCACCATCCTGTCATAAATGCCTTGCAGAGATGTAGGTGGATGAAAAATCAACGAAACCTAGGCCCTGTTTGGTTCTTTAGGCGCTCCTAAAATTCCTGTCACATCGAATGTTTGGACACATGCATGGAGTATTAAATATAGACTAATTACGAAACTAATTGCACAACTTGTGAGACGAATCTTTTAAGTCTAATTAGCCCATGATTTGACAACGTGGTGCTACAGTAAACATGTGCTGATGCCATATTAATTAGGCTTAAAAAAATCGTCTCGCAAATTAGCCTCCATCTATGTAATTGGTTTTGTATTTAATCTATATTTAATGCTCCTTATTAGTATCTAAACATTCGATGTGACATGAATTTTTGGAGCGACTAAAGAACCAAACACCCCCCTAAACATGCTGAAATAACCAAAGTATGCTGTAACTTTGCTCTTCTTCCTTAGTTTGGTTTCAAATTCGACAGACAGTATGATTGAATAAGCATGCTGTTGTAGGGCCCTAGTTTTGAATTAATGCAGTTGACATAATTATTTGCATTAATGAATTTACTTGCCAATGTTTATGTGAACCGTTTGCGCAGTTGGACTAATTGAATGTGTGTTGTAGGTTAGTTTCGAGGTAGAGTATGCTTTCTTATCACCGTGGTGAACACGCACAAAAGAAGAAGAGAGAAAATGATGTAACAAGAATTCAAGAAGCATGATTACATCTCTATGCTTCTATTCAATGTAGCCTTCTTGATCCATAGTTTGCTTTAGACTTTGGCTGCATTTGGATACATGGTGGGTATGGATTGCTTAATAAGAAGGGATAAATTAGTGTGGGGATAGAAAAACATAAATATTTTTAGCCCTATCCTATTGGTTGGAAAATTTTGGTGAGCTTGGATTATTACTGCATTGGCCAAAATTTCCCTTCATCATATCATAGCTCTCCTAACCTGGTCCAACATAGATGACATTGATTGGAGCAGTGGTACTGTTTGATGCGCATTTTGTGCCATGTCAACACCAGGTGTGACATGTGTCAGCGCCTATATTCTGATATGAAGGGTAGATGTGATGGAGAATAGTTGAGAAGATATTTGCATTTGGAGGATGAATATTGTTAAGAAAGTTGATTGTATTGAAGCTCAGATGCCACGTGTATAAGTTATTTAAGTAAATCATTGACTAAATGTACAGAACTACAAATGCCATTGACACAGACATTATACACTACTATCCTTGGCATTCATGCTCCCTCCGAGAAGCAAACGCAAGGACCAAGGAGTTTTAGAAAGCATAATGAGTAGGTCATTGAATTATCCTCATGGTGTGCAACTATTGAAATATAAATCAATGAGCAAACAATTTTCTTCAACACCACACTTAAAAAGGGATACTGCCTTCAGGAACTGTTTTGGTTGTATATGGTATGAATATATTGAGCAAATTGTGAATATTACTGATCCATCCTCATTCATGACTTGAACCTCCTCGAAGTTTGAATTGTTTTCTGTTATAGCTGGTATGTCAATATTTGATGTTATTATTGTTTCTTTCTAATCAGCCCTGTGGACTGGGGAAAATTGCAAAGCTAATCAATGCTGGGAAGATTGATTCCTCTGAATTGATTACCATGAAGACACTAAAGGTACATAGAATTATTTCTTGAACAATACTGTGCTTTTGTTTAATGACATCAACATCTGTATTCCACTTTGGCAGGAAACAGGTGCCATTGGGAAGCAAATAAAGGATGGAATTCGTTTAATGGGCCGTGGAGCAGAAGAAATCAAATGGCCTATTCACCTTGAGGTAAACATGATCTCCATTCAAAAAAGTATTTCTACTAAAAGCAAGTGTGGAATTCACCCTATAGGCCCTGTTTGGAGATAAAGTATTTTTTGGAGTATCGGATAAATACTATGGTTTTGCAAAATAGGAGCACTTTGGTTTTCAAAAGCTGCTCGGTGTTTCGATACAACAAGCCTTGTAGTTTCTAAAACTATGGTTTTGTCAAAACAGTAGTCTTTTTGGAGTTCTAGAAACAACACTCTTGACCTCTTTTTTCTAAACCATGGTTGGATTACAAAACCACAGTTTCATGACGCCACAGTTTTCTAAAACTACGTCATCCAAACAGGCCTAGTTCTTATTTCCTTGCAATCCATCTTGTCAGGAGTAATATGCTTGTCTTTAATATTCAAAAAACGAACTTCTGGCTCTTGCCTAGAAAAATTATGTTCTGCTTCTTGGTTCATGTGATGATTGAAGCTTCAAACATGCAATTGGACATCTACTAAAAAAACGAATTTGTTTTTTGTTAAACTTATATCTCCACATCACCATATGATCTATTATCCTGTCCATAATCTGTAATCATGCTGAGTACAGATAATAGCTTTTGTTTCAAGAAGGTGATTTGGAATTCAATTTCCTTGCAATCCATATGCGGCAGCACAAACTTAATGCATAGACATGAACATTTGAGTACTGATTAGTCTCTTGGTAGAGATGATTAGGTAGTTTAGCTTATGAATATTTGTTATCTTTACCTATCATTATCATTTGGTACGGGCCCAGCTATCAACTAATACTAGATGATCTTTTTTTTTTGTGAACACAATACTAAATGATCTTGAATTGGAAGATGTAGGCAACTGAAAAGGCAAAATGATGAATCTTCTTTCAGGAGTCTTCTGATACCATTTGTGGTTGCTTTCATCATTTCGCAAGTTGAGATATCCATTCTCAAACAGCAGATGCACTGAATATTGTAGGTGTCAAGGGCAACTGCAAGGGCCAAAGCTGCCGTGGAAGCTGCTGGTGGGACAGTAAGGCTGGTGTATTACAACAAACTTGGATTCCGGGCGCTCCTGAAACCCGAGTGGTTTGAGAAGAAGGGCCGCCTGTTACCAAAAGCAGCAAGGCCTCCGCCCAAGCAACGAGACAAGGTTGATAGCATTGGGCGCCTGCCGGCACCGACAAAGCCACTCCCCTTCACTCCAGAGGAGCTGGAATTTGCAGCCAAGCGCGATGCCGCCCGTGGGAGTGTGACCGCATAAGATGGGAGCACGTTGGCAGCACCTTTTTTTTTTCTGTTCTACACAAGAAAGAAAGCATGCCCCACTGAATGTGCATCACATTAGCTCTAGCAGGGCATGTATTATATCTTTCTTTTCCCGCAAGGAATGGGCTGTTATAAATTGAAGATCCATTCCTTGGAATGAGGCGTGGCTGTAGTTTGTGAACTTACCGGGTTTGGATTGACTAATGCCGTTTTTCTGAATAGGCTCATGTATGGTGTTATTTTACTTGCCATCTTTTGATCCTGGATTGACAGTTAAGGAATGCTGTTTTTTTTTCTGAAATAGGCTCATGTATGTTGTCTTACTGCCCACCTTTTTATCTGTATATCTCGTTCCAGAATTTGTATCACTTGTTTACCATGGGACGAGCAACAAGTGGGCACCTCCCATGGGCCAAGTTTTCCTAACTATTTACCTTGGGACGAGCAAGAACGAATTCTAGTGGCGGACCTGTTAAACCATGAATCACTAAACAGATGAACAAAAGGCAGAGCTTTTTAAATATGCTTCATTTTTTGGTTTATTCATCTGTGCTGGTAGAGTGCTGCTGATCACAAATTCACATGTGGTCTGACCATGCCATCTATAACTGGCAGTAGTCATGAGTTGGCCGCTTACCGACTCAAAACACTACTAGTAGATGAGACTCTGCATTCATAGCCAATCATGCGTCTTCTTCACGAGGCGTGTTGTCTAAATTATACAACAAGTATATAGGAAAGCATCTCGATCTGTTACCGTGTATCGTTGTATGTATGCGATGAACACATGCAGATGCAGCGTTGTTGATTTATCACCTCGGCCTGACACTCTGACAGTGAGAAACGAAGAGGCAATCACCTGCTACCTTGAACCTGGCAAACTAGGATTGGCTGCATCATGTGCTTTAGACAAACTGCTGACAAGCATTAATCAACTCTTGATTAAAAAGCATAAATATTCAATGATGCATACTCTACTACTCCCGTTTCGAAGAGCAGCCTGAAGACAAATTTTGTTGCAAAGCCGAAGCCAATGTACTATAGAGCAGTGCCGGTGACTCCTAATTCATTTTGGCAGGAGGAAAAAAAAAGTTTCTATGAACAGTACTGCTACAGCGCTCTGCGGGGGAGCAGCCGGAGCCACGAGAACGGAGGAGAAAGCCAGAGCCACAAGAAGGTCTGCCAGACTACTAAACACACCCTAAGTGTGCTTAAAAGATATATCACAGCCAATAATATGAGGCAGATGCTGTTCATGGGGCTTGCTGTTGGCATTTGCAGATTTCTTTATGCTTTCACCGGGCTCCCCCTGTTTTGTTTTGATCTGCTTTTGCTGCATCCACTCAGACCCCGGAGTGTGGCACATACGAACTTGGGATGATCACTATAGCGCTATAAAATACTGAGTTTAGCCATGGCTGCTTTCAGTTAAGAGAGTTTAACCGTCAAAAAAAGATAAGCACTACCGTGTTCCTTCGACTGTTTCCCGTTTCAGTGCCAATTTTCTCACTTCTGCCTTTTGTCAAGGAGTCCTTGTACACGTATCAAGGATAACCAGGCCAGGCACCAGCTTCTTGATGGTTTCTTCAATCACTCAATCAAAGAATTGCTCTGCGCACTTGCCGCGCGTCATTTTGGTAATCACTCAATCAAAGAAAAACACCTGCAAAAACGGACACCTGTCCGAAACTAATGTCAGGCCAGGCCACCGAGTTATCTGAAAATTTAACCGCGCCCCTTCTACGGGGTGGTATAGAGAATGGAGCCAGAGTGATCTGGTAAATCTTATCGCAGTGCTGCAGACTGCACTGTAGATGCCTGCCATGATAGGTTACGCGGCTTCTCAGTTGACCAGAATTAGATCACCCTCGTTAAGCATGCATTTGTGCAGACTTCTTGGTAGCACAGCATTCATTTTCTTAGTGTAACCATTCAGTTCACGGTGGCATAAATAACCATGTAAAATCATCATGCGTAGGTTAGATAGAGATCCGATCCGAACAAGACCAGATCACTGTAGATGCCATGATAAGTTACGCGGTTTCTCGGTTGACCAGAATTAGATCAGATCACCCACGTTAAGCTTACATGTGTGAAAACTTCTCGGTAGCACAGCATTCCGGTTTTTATACGGTAACCATTCAGTTCACGGTCCCATAAATATAAGCATGTAAAATCATCATGCGTAGATAGATGGAGATCCGAACAAGACCAGATCATTACCGTCAACCCGCAGAGGTACTGCATGTTTGCTGCCGAAAAACACAACCGGGCCGACAACGTTGCGCAGACAAGTATGGAGTAACACATAGACATGGTTTATTACAATTAGCATTTGCAGGTTTAATTATTTACGCTAGCTCTCACCAAATCGTTGGGCCGCAATGTGCGCTCTATCCTTTTGTTAGTTCCCAAAAAATCCATCCACTCAAAGTGTGGCACAAACTTACTGGATCATCTTTATGAGTAGGCATATATAAGCAGTTTGTTTAGTTTAAAAATATGGCCTAGCAAAAGGAGTAGAGAGAGTTCCTTTGTCAGAGAAAGAACACAAGATCAGTGCTACCTTAGCAATTCTGAATGTCTGCTTGCAGTTAAATATAGTGCTGTGTTCTGCCTAATATATACTTCCAAATTTAGATTTTTATTAACTCAGTTGTTTGTCATTTGGTGAGCTAAATCATTACATGTTTCCCAGTTTGCTCATCTGTCAGACTGTCACAGTTATCATGTCACTGCCAAAGCTGAATGCACTAGCTCCTTCCAACCAAATTTGGTGTTGCCAAAAGTTACAGTTCCCGGCTACTGATGCCATGACCATGCAGCCTATTCGCTTGGTCGTAAACGATCATAAATTTTCAGCGGGGCGTAGTGTTTTTCTCTCACACCAAACCAGCCAGCAGTAAATAATCAACGATACGATACGGCCTCCCGAACAGGCTGCATGAAGCAAGGGATCGTCCAAGACCAGGAATTTAAGTGCAGTAGAAAACCGCCGCCGCGCATATAGCTGGCACCACATTTGGTGAGACCTGAGGGTGACATATAACATCCGACGAAGAATTTCTGTCCTAGTCCTGCATACAATAGAGGCATCGAGTTCCTTAATTGTTTCAGTAACATCGATCCTTCTAAGTAGGCAGTAGGCTGTAAATGATTATTGCTCTCCCGGCACCACCAGCAAGAGATGGCTCGAGCTGATGCATAGTCTCTCCAATCAGATAACGAAAACAATTGCAGATTAACCGATTGACTGCAGACCTTAAACTAATCTCCAGCTAACGCTATCATGCTAGCATGATACACCACTCTACTAGCAGTAGTGCATCTTTTTGCTAGCTAGGTTAGATAGCTAGAGTACTAGCTAGCTCCCCTCTACTACCTACCTGCAAACCCTGAGTGCATGCAACACCACATGCGTCAATGGCGAAACAGTACGCTGCTGCTACTAACGCACTTGTTTAGGCGCCAAATGGACCACTCCAGCACCATCGACTCCATCTTGTGGCCGTCAAATTTACCGCAATCAAAAACACGTACGCACACGTATGTAGTCGGTCGCGCAATTCGCGAGCTTTCAACCACATCGTGCGTGCACTGTAGAATTGGAGATCGCTGCCGGTCTTATCGTTGTCGGATTTTAAAAAATCGACAATGATAGTCCATCACTACCGGTTTTTAACTAAAACCGATAGTGATAGGATCAACCGACACTGATATTCGGGTATAGCCAAGAACCGACAGTGATATTGGATCATCACTATCGGTTTTAGCCAAGAACCGACAGTGATATTGGGTCATCACTATCGGCTTTAGCCAAGAACCGACACTGATACTATCACTGTCGGTTCGTGGCTTGAACCGACAGTGATATGCTGCAAGAAAACTTCATAAGTTTCTCATATGATGTCCGATGAAGATGAACTTTGTATCAAAGTTGTAGTACTCGACGAGATCTACAACTTTGTTGTTCAGACTTTTTAATTTGAGATCGTTTGAATGTTCAAATATTTTCATTTGAAATAATCTATCTAACGAAAATTACGTTTGATTTCTAAAATTTGATTTTTTTCAAACGGCCTAGGATGGAGAAACACCCAAAACAAAAATTGTGGATCTCAAAAAGTTATGCAACTTTGTAGTTGAAAACTTTTTCATTGGAGATCATTTACTACTTGAAAATGCTGTTTGAAATTAAATTTTGAAATTATTAAAAAACTCTGATTTCTCTTTTTAATCTATGGCTAAAACTTGTAACTAGTCTTTCTCCCTCATACTAACTTCAAATTTGATGTTTTTTCCTAAAAATTTCTAAAATCATGCCTTACCAATTTATTGTGTTCTTACCGCTATTATTTTATCCATCTTTTCATGTGACTGTGTTTTTATCTATTTTAATTTTGAATTTCAAAAAATGGCAAATTCAAACGTCATTTTAGAACAGTAAATGATTTCAGCTGAAAAAGTGATGAACATAGAAGTAGAACTTATCAAGATCCATAACTTTTATTTTGGTCATTTCTTCATCTAATAAAGTGGTAGTAACATTGTTCACAAAATTTACATATCTCTCTTATAGTTTCATAAACAATAAGAGAGATGTGTACCATTTGTGAATAATGTTACTATCACTATATCGGATGAATAAATGATCAAATAACCAAAATAAAAGTTGTAGATTTCGAAAATTTATGAAACTATATAGTTGATAACTTTTTGATTTGAAATCATCTTGTCAAGGAAAATTATTTTTGAATTTCTAAAATTTGAAATTTAAATTTTATAAACGACCTCGAGCGGAGAAACAACGAAAATGAAAGTTGTAGATCCCAAAAAGTTATGAAACTTTGTAGTTGACAACTTTTTGATTTGAAATCATCTTCTCAAGGAAAACTACGTTTGAATTTAAAAAAAATTGAAATTCATTTTTTTCAACGACCTTGGATGCACAAACAGCAAAAATGAAAGTTGTAGATCTCAAAAAGTTATGAAACT